AAATGTCCCATCAGCATCCAGATTAAGTTTCCATGGTACAGATATTTTTTTTTGCGGTAGTTGATGATTTTACATTTACCCAGTAATTATAATTCATGAAGTGTCGTTTTACCTCCAATACTGCTGCTTTCAACACAGTAGGTGCTCTTAACAGAGTAGCTGCTTTCAAAACAGCAGCTGCTTTCTACACAGTAGCTGCTCTCTACACATGTGTGACTGGTCTGCATAAGTACAATATGGCGCCAACCCTGTCACATATACCTGTATTTGTACGGGGTGTATGTGATGAGGTTGGCACGATGATGTCATCACGCCGGGTACTTGTATGTGAGCGTATCTGCATGTGGGCGGATCCGCCTGGAGACGGATAGAGGAGCAGTGTCTCGGTTCCTAAGACCATCGAAAATATGTGTTTTCCGATGGTCTTAAGCGACCCCTGTGAAAGGGTCGTTCGACCCCCAAAGGGGTTGCGACCCACAGGTTGAGAACTACTGCCTTAGATGAACCTACATACATACAAACTTTAACACATTACATAAGCTCTCCTCTTGCCACCCAAGATACCAAAAAGAAAGTCCCTGCTGTAGTAAAGGCCCAGAAGGCCAAAGAAGGTGGTATATCCCATTTGGGATAAGGCCCAAGAATTTTGGCATTGGACAGGAAATCCAAACCAAAAGGGACTTCACCCGTTTTGTCAAATGGCACCATTACATTCAGCTACAGGGGCAAAGGGCTATTTCCTGTAAGTGTCTAAAAGGGCCTCCCACCATTAACCAATTAACCCAGGCCAAACGGCTACTCAACTGATTAAGGTGGCCCAAAAGTACAGAGACAAAGCAAGAGAAGAAGTGGAGATTGTTGGTCCAGGCTGAGAGAAAAGCTGCCGGCAAAGTGATGTACCTGCCAAGAGGCCATCTGTCCTTCAAGCAGGGGTTAACCTGTCATCACCTTAGTGGAGAACAAAAAGGCCAGTTAGTAGTCTTTCTGCCTCTACTTGCTGTAAGATAAAGGATCCCTACTACATTACCAAGGAGAAGGCCAGGCTCAAGCGTCTAGTCCACAGGAAGCACCACAGTCATCTTGGAAGACAAAGGAGCTCTGGCTAACCTGGTAGAAACTATCCAAACCAATTACAACAGCAGATACAATGAGATCTGCTGCCTCTGAGGAGGCAACATTGTGGGTCCAAAGATGGTGGCTCGCATTGCCAAGCTGGAAAATGCCAAGGCTCAAAGCTACCAAATTGGGTTAAGTGTTCACTGTTGAGCTTCCTGAACGTAAAAGTAATAAAAATTCTCCAAAAAAATTTATAGAACAAAACATTACATAAAAAACATATATAATCTACTGTGCAAAACTTGAATACAATGTATTCTAGAAAGAAGGTAATCTTTATAAATTCTCCTAAGTATAAATAGGCTTTATCCTCCAATTTTTTTATTGTGGTAAAATACATATACCATGAAATTTACCATCTATACTTTTTATTGTATAATTCAATAATATTAACTTTTGACAAGAACCACTATCCATCTCCAGAACTTTTATCTTGTAAACTCAAACTTTACAACCATGAAATATGAACCATTCATTTCCTCCTTCCCAGCCCTCAGCCCCTGACAACCATTACTCTACTTTCTGTCTCTATTATTTGGAGTACTCTAATAACTTTTTGTGTAAGTGGAATTACACAATATTTGTCTTTTAGAGACTTACTTACTTCACTACAGATACACTTTTAA